CGACTTTTTTCGCGTGTCGTCGCGCCACCTTAGTATTAATTACCTAGTTAATTAGAAAATGACTCGCGGTAATAACAGTGCGTCCCATATTATATTATTGGTGGGGATACCCAATAGGGTAGTGGTTAAGGCGCGCGGAGGTCTCGGGTTCAAATCCCGGTATAGACAGAAATAGATAGGTAGAGATAATAAAAAAAATACATAGGCCGTAAGGTAAACCTATATAATATAGGTGAATATATAAATTAGACAGTATTATTTATAAGAATTAAAAGGTATGTAGGTATATAATAAGTTAATGACGGTATAGGTATCTCACGGTATGATAGATAATAGATATCTATATATGATATACAATAATATAGTATACAATAGTATACAATAATACATAGGTCGTAAGGTAAACCTATATAATATAGGTGAATATATAAATTAGACAGTAGTATTTATAAGAAGTAAAAGGTATGTAGGTATGTAATAAGTTAATGAAGGTATAGGTATCTCACGGTATGATAGAATAATAGTATGATAGGTAATAGGTTATCTATCATATTATTAGGTTAAGTCTTATAAAGTATTGTAATAAATTTTGAGTACTTTTATATCATAATAAATACCTGTAAGTATTAATGAATACAAATAATACCACAATAAATATAATTAATGTTATTAAAGAATATAAATTATGTACTCAATGATTCCCTCATACTTGTACAATTTAATGTATAGACTAGCTGTATATAATAGAGTTAATTATATAAGAAGTCAATATATTATATTTGTGAGCTCTTATCGAAATATATCAAATTTTTTGAACCGGATTTTAAATTTTAGCGTTCCGGCAAAAAAAATATTAGCACAACACCACTGCCCTGGAAGTAAACCTTGTATTGTTGCATTGAGATCATCGACATCTTTGTTTTTCGTCGCCTTTATTGCTCGTTCGCTCAGTCAATTGAGATCGTGAAATTGTTGGTTTATATCTGGAAATACGCATTGAATAAGCTCCTCCTTTGTGTTTGTGAAGTTGCAAAAATCTGCGGGAAATGTTATTAACCCGTTCGATGCATCAACTGCGACATTACCATTTTCAATATTTAGTAACTGCTTTGAAAACACTTTTGCTGTTTCATCTTGTTGCAAAACCACTCGCATGTTCGTTGATAACTGGAGTTTCTTAACATGACGCCACCAATTTGATGATTTTAGGCTTCGTCGTAGTTCGTCAGCAACAGTTGATCGCGGTATAACTGGAAGAGTTTGGCGAAAATCACCTGACAACAAAATCATTGCTCCACCAAAAATATTTTGATTGTCACGTAAATCTTTCAATGTTCTGATCAGTGCTTCGAGTGATCTCTTGTGGGTCATTGTACATTCGCCCCAGATAATCAATTTGCATGTCTGAAGTATCTTGGCTATGGCGCTAGTTTTTCTGATGTTGCAAACTGGTGTTTCATTGATTTGCATATTAAGAGGTAACTTCAATGCTGAATGTGCAATTCGTCCACCTTCTAACAATGTTGCTGCTATTCCTGATGATGCCAATGCTAGAGCTACGTCATTTTGCAATCTGATCTTTGTCAATAGCAATGATAACAGGAATGTTTTTCCAATACCACCAGGAGCATCAAGAAAAAAAAAAACCTTCAGTTCCTTCCACTGTTCACAGATTGTATCAAATCATCATATACAATCTTTTGATGATCATTCAACTTTGGAACAGTTGTGCGAACTATTTCGGTCAATGTTTTAATATCATACTGTTGCTCCCTTCTTAACTCATGGTTAAATGCATCTTTTACACAACGGTTTAGTGCTGTCAGGCCCAAACATGATAATATTTTATTCGCCATCAATAAACACATATCCTCTATCATGATCAAAGTTTTATAATAAATTTCTGCAGTAATTTGTAGTGCTGGATCGAATGTTTGACAACGCGCACTATGTAAAATATCCTCAGACATGTCATATCTGTATTTGATCCACAAATCTTTCGGATTTGAGGAAAAACATGTTGAAATTATAATCGCAAACAATGTACGCACTTGATGCGGAGATGAGGATATTATGGCATCCTTGAGCGTATTATCCCAATGCGAATCGTCTTCGAGCAACTGCAACATGTGACATGCTTCACGGTAAGTCGCACAAAGATGTCCATCAACTGTTTTCAATTGTTGAAATGATGTCGGTCCAGGAACATTAACCAGCAATAACCTAAGGTAGTAACATTCATCATTATTTGGATGTACTGTATAAATGCGTCCTATAGCATCTGTAGCAAATATATTTGGATATCCTTCAACCGGTGTTCCTTTTTTACGACGTTGAAACGACTTTGACGATGCGTTTTATGTGTAATAGCGCGGCATATCAGCATACATCAAAGTACGGGCGAAATAATCTCTTTGACAAATTGAAAAGAAACTTGTTAATGTTGTTGGAGGTGGATGCGCCGCTCTATCAACAGCATTAACGGGGTTAAAATATACACTTTGTCCGTTTTCTAAATGGACTGCCAGATGGACTATAGAAGAGTGTCTTTCATGTATTGGGAAAGAAAAAATTCTCCAAATTGCTTTATTGCAGAAACTTCATCATTTTTTTTTAGCAACAGCGAACATGGCCATGTCACTACCTTTGTTAATATATTTGCATATATATATTATTGACTTGACAGAGTTACAAAATTCTACATTGATGTGTGCTTGAAAAGTTTTAGATAATATCGGGGAGTACGGCACAATCCATCGGCTGTCAACATATAAATCTCGTCCTTTTACCTTCACAACTACATATTTAACCCAGTCAAAATAAAGCTAAAAAAGCCGTCAGTTAGGAATAATTCGCATAGAGATGAAATTTGGTACAGGTGTTAAATAGGCCATTACAGATGAAATATCAAAAGTCCCCATCGATCCGACATCTGCGATTTTTTTTATTCGAGGTCAAAGGTGCAAAATTCTAGCTTTCCTCATTTTCCGCCGAATCCATAATATTTTTTAAAAAATTATGTTAGATAGGTTTATTTATTATAAAATTCTCTATTAAATTGTTATTATTAATTTTTTTGTTAGATTCGCCGTTTCTGAGATATTGCCGTTTGAAAAGTTGAAAAATTCATATTCTTCATAATATGCAGCCTTTATACGTCATCAAACGTGTAATATAAGGAAAAAATAAGAGTCTATTAGTTTGTGTTTAAATAGTATAGGTTTAATAAAATTTTTGAAGTATGAAACTATAGTGTCAGCCCCTAATTACCAGAAAAAAAAACAGTCATATATGTGACCTTCCCACACTAGGAAAATGACATAGCTGGGTGGTGTTGCCCAAGAACTAAGGTAATTAGGGGCTGACACTATAGTTTCATACTTCAAAAATTTCATTGAACCTATACTATTTAAACACAAACTAATAGACTCTTATTTTTTCCTTATATTACACGTTTGATGACGTATAAAGGCTGCATATTATGAAGAATATGAATTTTTCAACTTTTCAAACGGCAATATCTCAGAAACGCCGAATCCAACAAAAAAAATTAATAATAACAATTTAATAGAGAATTTTATAATAAATAAACCTATCTAACATAATTTTTTTAAAAAAAAATATGGTTTTGGCGAAAAATGAGGAAAACTGGAATTTTGCACCTTTGACCTTAAATAAAAAAAATCGCAGATGTCGGATCGATGGGGACTTTTGACATTTCATTTGTAATGGCCCATTTAACATCTGTACCAAATTTCAGCTCTATGCGAATTATTCCTAACTGAAATCTTAATTTGACTGGGTTAATTGCCCACCGTTCGCAACTGATTCCCTACGATACAGCGGATAACCGTCATTTCCTGTAATGGTTTCAGAAGTTAGATTTCTCGGGTATCGTGTAGAGCACTTGCCGTCAATCATACAGGTCGAGTTATTGTTGAAAACTCCGCAAGGTCCATGTATCATATGTTTAGTAATTATTGCATGCAAATTTGGATCAGCATTTTTATTAGGAATCTCTGCTGATATGACTGAATCAATATCATCTGGCTTCATTTTGTCAATTAACCAGACTAAGATGTGCGCATGTGGAAGACCACGCTTTTGCCACTCAACAGAGTACATCCAGCAACGTACTTGGCTATATGCATGATGCTTTATTATGAAATTCAACTAAGATTTCAATTTTTGTTTAAAAACTCTGGCAGTAATATCATGTCTATCTCCTGGTGTTTGGTCGTGTATCAATTCTTTCTTAATTTCTATCCATTGCGGGTTACATGTGAATGTAATGAATAGATCAGGGCGACCATATTTTCTAACGTATGTCATTGCTTCTTGTGCGTATTCGTGCATGTGGAGCGGGCTTCCAATGTAGGTAGACGGCAAAATTGTCATTTTACCCACATTGTTTGCATTACCATCGGCAATAATAGCATCACGAAGATGGATGTATTCTTGAGATCAAAGGTACTGTTGGTTTAAGCGGATGCATGTTAATCAACATACATATCAACAGCGAACTGTTGAAAAAGTCGTTGACACATCAAAATGTGGTTTATTATTTCACCATCACGGATCATCAGCCTGTATGAATAAAAATTCATAGCGCTAACTTTTTTATTGGTTTCAGCACCTAAAATCACAAATAATAATGTTAACTCTACCGTATCTATTATAAACACAATGTTCTCTTCGTCACTTTATTTACTTAACTACACTACGTTCTCCATTATACGCATTATATACTATTGTTTTACATATTACCCAAAGCCTACTAGATTCCTGTCATCTATTGATAGTTAATATTCGGCTATCCTTTCTTTAATCATTTCGAATTTTTTTAGTTATTTTCATTGCCTTTAGTCATTCCCGAGTTACCATCACTCCCAATTATTTACCACTTTGTATTTGGAGTCCTTTCTATTTCTTCTCGGATGAAATCCATGTTCCTTTCTCTTCTCTATAACTGAACGCTTTGCTAATGGACTCTTCACAACTCAATGACTCTTCACAAGTGCAACTCGACTTTTCACGATTGGATTCTTCGCTGATGGACTCTTCACGATTACTATAGGATTCTTCACTATTGGACTCTTCACTAATGGACTCTTCACTCTTAGGCTCTTCACAGGATTCTTCACGATTGGACTCTTCACTATTGGGCTCTTCACGATTATAGCAGGATTCTTCACGATTGGACTCTTCACTATTGAGCTCTTTGCGATTACAACTGGATTCACGATTGGACTCATCACTAATGGACTCTTCACTATTGGCTTCTTCACGATTACATCAGGATATACGATTGGACTCATCACTACTGGGCTCTCCACGATTACATCTGAATTCAGGATTGGACTCATCACTAATCGACTCTTCACTATTGGGCTCTTCACGATTACGACAGGATTCTTCACGATTGGACTGTTCACTAATGGACTCTTCACGATTAATTCACTAATGGCCACGATTAGACTGTTCACTAATGGACTTTTTACTACTGCGGTCTTTGTTAAAGCACTTGCCTCTAATGGAATTTTTATTTCCTTAGCCCTAACAATTTTATTCTTAAGCGCTAACTCTAATGCACCTACATCATCATCATCATCTACCTTCTCCATTTCCTAATAGCACACTCCTATTGGCTCTCTCCCTACTGGCGCAATACAATCATCGGTTTCGCTTCCCAGCACCATTTTGTATACCTCATGATTGGGCTCTACACCAGACTTCACTCTATCATCACGAACCATCGATACCATCATTTTCATTATTTCATCTTCTCGGCATCTGCTTTCCAAATACATTTTGTACAACTCTTGTAGTTCACTCATATTGTTTTTTGTTATTGAAATGTCACAAACATAATCTCACACTTTCTGATTCGTCTCTAAAATATCTTTATGTATATCCCTGGTAATCCTTGAGTAATCTTTGAGTAATCCCACTTCTGAATTATTAACTCTACCGTATTTATTATAAACACAATGTTCTCTTGGTCACTTTATTTCCATTATACGCATTATATACTATTGTTTTACATATTACCCAACGCCTACTAGATTCCTGTCATCTAATGATAGTTAACAATAGTATAGATATTGAGTTAAAAATATTATTTAATTACGTTTATAATTGTCTGTTATTGGATTAATCATTTTAACATTAAAGTGGTGGCCATCTTCTCCCTCCGAAGTGGTAGCGTTGCTCCGAAAGATGTCATTTGGAAGCAATTATTATATTTCTGGATGTTGGATAAGATGTGTTTAGAGTCATTGGTCATTCCAAAAATAAGTGAGTGTAATGGATCAGGTGGTGGTACCAATTGTGGCAACTTCACCTTACCGCCAGCACAACATAGTCCTGCAGATTCATCATTGTATTTTAAGGCTTTATAGTGCTGACAAATGATCGACATGTCTCCAATTTTTACAAATTTGTGGGCACTGTAATCTATTTCCGGATCATAAGAGAATGCTGCTCGCTCCAGGTTGACTGAAGCATTGCTTCTGCGAATTCGAGAATTTTCATTTTTGCGTGCTCGCTGCTGTTGCTATCGATTTGCAGCAACTTGTTCTCTAAACTCAAGCAAATCTGTCATTCAAAATCATTTTATTTTATTATGATAAGAATAATATCCATGTAATAATTACAAAAAATCTGATTAAATATAAAGCAAAAACTGTTAATATATTGTTCGGACGTCTTTTCATTTTATTATATTGGCCATGAAAGTTTACAAAACTTCAGAGCATTAAGCTTTATACGGAATGGTTGCTACCCCTGGTAGAGAGGGGGTAGCGGAGTTTTCAAAGGAACTATTCGTTCTGTTCTAAAAGTGAAGCCGACTTAAACACATGTAACTAACCTATACGCATAAATATATTTTTCTTCATTAATACTTAATAATACATCAGTTATTGTGATTAGAACTGCAACAAATACAGAATATAAAATTAAATCAGTTTTTTAATACAGTCCACAGCGACAAAGGTTAAATAATAACCTAACAACCTGAGTGATCGAAGAAGAAGAGTTTTAGTAAATTCTTGAAATACGCACAAATAAACATTTTGGTCATTCGACCCGTATCGTGAATTACAAGCAGTTAATTAAAGTACAATAGTGATAACAAATTTCTAAGTGTTGTGAAGAAAAAACATTCCAAAGCGGCTAAACTTTACAACCACGTGGCGGCAGACCAGAGCAAACAAGGGCAACGAAGGCTGAGGACAGTTACAACATCTACACACCTGTATTACAAGTAAGTCTGTTTTCATTCCTTTCATAATATCCCAATAATTTCACATATTGCTCGGTTGTGTTTAATATTGTATTCAAAATGGCGGAACTTAAAGCGAAGCGTGGATTCATTAAATCCAAATTGACGCGAGTGCAAAATTTTGTAAATTCATTAGATTCCACAATACTAGATGAAAATATAATTATTGAAATAAATACCAGACTCGAAAAGATATTACCAATTATTGATGAATTTGAAACGATACAATATGAAATTGAATTAATTGGGGGTGTATCAGAGGACGATAAGGAATCTTTCGAAAGTGATTATTATAGAACAATAGCTAAATTAAAATTTATAATTCAAAATTTCAATGACACGAAAAAATGTAAAGACGGTCAGCAAACAATAGGGCCGTCTAGCATTGATTCGTATACAAATATCAAAAATATTAAATTGCCAACAATCAAACTTCCCACGTTTGATGGAAGTTACGATAAATGGTTAGAATTTCATGATTCATTTAACGCTTTGGTGCATAGCGACAATACTTTAAGCAAAATTCAAAAATTTTATTATTTAAAATCATCATTAGAAAAAGATGCCAAAAATAGCATTGCAGCTATAGAGGCATCCGATTCTAATTATGATATAGCATGGCAAATTTTAAAAGACAGGTTTGAAAATAAACGGTTAATCATACATAATCACATCAAGGCAATTTTTGATAGTCCGAAATGTAGTCGCGAATCTCATTCAGAATTAAGAACGTTATTAGAAACGATTTCTAGGCATCTACGCTCATTAGAGTCATTAGGCGAACCCACAGATAAATGGGACACAATTATTATATTTATATTCACAAATAAATTCGATACGCGTACGTTACGGGATTGGGAATCCTTTACCTGTATCAAAGAAAAGCCGACGTTGACAGATATTAATAATTTTATTAAACAAAAATGTGATATGTTAGAAAAATTATCCACAAATATTAGTAGTAAACCTTTTCCTAATAATATTAATAAATCTTTGGCTCAACACACAAAATACAAGAGCACAAATAATAATCATAATCCATCAATTAATTATCTGTCAACGGGGCGGCAAACTTGCTATTTATGTGAAGAAAATCACTCTTTATATTACTGCAAGCAATTTAAAGCGCTATCTATTAAAGATAGGATAAGTAAAATCAAAGAATTGAATTTATGTATAAATTGTTTCAAGAGAGGGCATAAGGTAGACGTTTGTTTGGCATTTCCGTGTAAAATCTGTAAAATGAAACATAATACATTGGTTCATTTTGAAGAGACTAATACAATTCCTAGCACATCGGGTTCAAATATGACGGTTGCTAATTATTCGACAAAAAATATTAATACTAAAGTACAGTTACAAGTAATTTTAGCAACAGCTGTTATAAAAGTAGAAAACTCGAGCGGGGAGTTCATAGAATGTCGGTGTCTTTTAGATTGCGGGGCACAAAGTAATTTTATTACGGCAGATACCTACACAAATTACACAGTTATGGGCGTCGGGCAGATAGAGACCAATATTCGGTTCTCAACAAATGTTAATTTTAAATCTACAAATACCTCGTTTAAATCCAATATAAATTGTTTAGTGCTAGAAAAAATAACAGAACCACTTCCATTAGTTTCCATAGGTAACAATTTTAAAATTCCGACAAATATTTTCTTAGCTGATCCGGAATACAATAAGACGCGGAATATAGATATACTTTTAGGGGCCGATATGTTTTGGAAACTTTTATCGGTAGGTAGAATTAAATTAGGTGATAACGCACCGATTTTACAGAAAACTTTATTAGGTTGGATATTAGTTGGGTCGTTTTCTCCGAATTGCACATATTCAAAAAATTCAAAACATTCAACAAATTTATTGGCATTAAATAATTATAATATTAATCAACAATTAGAGAAGGTTTCCGAAGTAAAAGATATTAAAAACAACAATTATAAAAAGTGAACAAAACACGAAACATTTTATGAAAATCGTTTTATAACAAATTTCAAACGCGATTTTACAGGAAGATTTATAGAAAAAATTTCTTTTAAAAATAAATTACATTTAAGAGATTTGAAAACTCGTCATATACAAAGATTTATGTCACGTAAACATAAATTCCAAGAGAATAGTTTATTAAAAATTAATTGTGTAAATTTTATTAATGCATATAGTAAGTTAGAACATATGTCTGAAGTTAGTAATTTTAATATTAAGTCAAATGGTCAATATTTCTTGCCACATCGCGCAGTAAGGAACAAATATAGTTTAAAAACAAAAACGAGAGACGTTTTTCGAGAGTCTTCAAGCGGCTGGCAAATGTGTGATGTTCATTATACGGGAACGTCAATTCGAAATGACTTATTTACAAAAATGTTAAGATTTAGAATGCCTACATATGCTTCATTAGGCGATACTTCAAAAATTTATCGGCAAATAATAATTAATGAAAACGGTAGACAAATTCCAACAGATAATTCAAAAACTTGTGAATTAAATACGGTCACATATGGTACAGCACCTGGATCATTTTTAGCTATACGTTATCTTAAGCAATTGGCAAAATAAAATAAAATTTTATTCTTCTGCTTACAACACAACATAATTAACATAGATTTTATTTAAATGACTTTTATGCTGCCTCAAAATATTACAATTTTGAATTCTTTAGATAATTAAAATTTTAATGACAAAAACATACCAGAAACAAGAGCAATTAATTTATTAGTCACTAATGTAGAATTTGATTTATTTTCTAGGTTTTCGACATTGCGAAAATTACAATCAACAATGGCATATGTAAATAGATTTATTACGAATTGTAGACTTAAAAAGAATAAGAATAAACGGAAGTTTGGACCACTTACAACACAAGAATTAGATCAAGCTTTTAAAGTATTGATAGTAGTTGCACAAAAACAATCTTTCCAATTAGATTATAAGAATCTTGTCAATTCTAAATCGCTCAGTAAAGAGAGCAGAATTTTATGTTTAAATCCTTTTATGGATAATTCGCAAATTATACGAGTAAGCGGTCGATTAAAAAACACAAATTATTCATTTGATAAAATTCATCCTATAATATTATGCCCAAAACATAAATTAACTACATTAATATTGCATCAAGAGCATCACCGATTACTTCACTGTGGTGCTCAACAACTTCTCGCAAGTATTAGAGAACGATTTTGGCCAATTTCTGGACGTAACGCTTGTAAAGAAATTATTCGGAAATGCGTTACTTCTTTCAAAGCAAAACCTTCGTCAAATGATTATCTAATGGGAAATTTGCCTAGTAGTAGAGTTAATCAAGATTTTCCATTTAACAATGCCGGCCTTGATTATGCTGGACCGTTTATTATCAAAGATCGAATAACACGCGGTGCCAAATTTATTAAGATTTATATTTGTATTTTTATTTGCATGTGCACCAAGGCTATTCATTTGGATCTGGTCTGCGATTTATCGACAGAATCCTTTTTACAAACATTAAAACGATTCAGTACTAGAAGAGGTCTTCCTAGTAATATATTTTCAGACAATGCAACAACATTCGTTGGAGCAAACAATCATTTAAAAGATTTATATAAATTTTTATTGGAATCTAACGAAGAGATTAGAAGCAAATTAATAAGTCAAAATATTAGCTGGCATTTTATACCAGCTAGATCTCCTTATTTCGGCGGACTGTGGGAAGCTGGGGTAAAAAGTTTAAAACACCATCTTCGTAGGGTGTTACGCGAGACAAAATTATGTTACAATTCAATGTATACATTATTAACACAAATCGAAGCAATTTTGAATTCTCGTCCGTTAACTCCCTTATCCTCTGATCCATCTGATCTCAATCCACTAACTCCAGCACATTTCCTGATCGGCAGATCATTAACATCACTTCCAGAAAATTCACTTTCCCACATCCCAGAAAACAGACTAACAAAACTCCAGCATCTTGAAAAGCTAAGGCAGCATTTTTGGACAAGATGGCACAAGGAATATCTAGGAGAATTACAATCCCGGACCAAATGGAGAAGACCAATGGAACAAGATAATCTTATAGGCAAACTGGTGCTTATAAAAGATGACAATCTACCACCATTAAAATGGCGTCTTGGACGGATCACAGATATACATCCAGGCAATGATGGTGTCGTACGGGTTGTTACACTGAAGGGCGCCAATGGAGAACTAAAAAGGGCACTAAACAAAGTGTGCATTCTACCAATCAATAATGAAATATCTTAAGTTTTATATAATATTAAGAAATATAAGTTAAATAATTTTAGATTAGATTGTCATGCAAATCACTATCACATTGTTAATCAATTTTTATACTCGTAAAATCTTTATACAATTTCTATACTTATTGTTAGTTCAAAATCGTTATGTTTATATTTTTAAAAGCTATAGCTTTTCAAGGCGGCCGGCATGTTCGGACGTCTTTTCATTTTATTATATTGGCCATGAAAGTTTACAAAACTTCAGAGCATTAAGCTTTATACGGAATGGTTGCTACCCCTGGTAGAGAGGGGGTAGCGGAGTTTTCAAAGGAACTAGTCGTTCTGTTCTAAAAGTGAAGCCGACTTAAACACATGTAACTAACCTATACGCATAAATATATTTTTCTTCATTAATACTTAATAATACATCAGTTATTGTGATTAGAACTGCAACAAATACAGAATATAAAATTAAATCAGTTTTTTAATACAGTCCACAGCGACAAAGGTTAAATAATAACCTAACAACCTGAGTGATCGAAGAAGAAGAGTTTTAGTAAATTCTTAAAATACGCACAAATAAACAATATAATAAGAAATAGTGGATTTTGTAACGAATTTTATTATAAATATAAATATAAAATTGCTAGTATTGTTAAGTAACTATATTTTTGGAAACTGAAGTAGTTATATTGAAAATTATCTTGAAAATTATTATATACATATTTGTAACGCTAGTATCAAACTAAACTTAATATTTTATATGCATTTAAATTGTAGAAAATTATTTATAATTACTTATGTAAGAAATTTTTCACATTTTTCATATCTTTAATACATATTCGGTGTACACAGTAATATATCACAATCTTTCTACTAAAATGTTTGATTTAATTTAAATAATTTAAATTTAATAATTTTAATCAATATGTTAAACATCATCTTCATTCTTACATTTATCAAAATATATAGTGTTTCTGACGTTGTTCCGATGCCTTTGAGAACTTCTTCTAAAAGTTCCCTGAATTCTTGCATTTCGTTAAAAATGTTCTCAAGACTTCTTTCAACTTTGTTCAGTTTTTTGTTGATTTCTTCTTTCGTTTTAGACATTTTATAAGAAATATTTTTAAAATTAAATAATGAAAATTACTGTTCAATATCTGCTTGCAGACTGAGTAAAAATTGAACTGATTGGAATCTGGCTATCATTATTATCAGTCTCCATCTGCCCATCAGTGCGGTTATTACCCGAATTACGTTTGTGGGGTAGTCCCACATATAAAAATCAAGACATTACAATTATAAATGAAAAATAAAGTTTATTGCAAAATAAATATTATAATTCACACAGTCTTCTTGGGTATTCTTCGGTTGGACTTCCTAGTTTTTCAGGTGTTGACTAATTTGGCGCTGCTGCTTTTAATGTCTTCTTTAACAGAAGCTCGAATTACTAATAAAATAATTGGTAGAGAATCCATCCATGACGGGTCTGCATGGCACATGAGGGCTGTTTTCAGTGGCCTGTGTGCATTTTCAATCAATCCATTCGATTGCGGGTGATATGCTGTAGTAGGAGTGTGGGAAATTCCTAGTAGTTTGGTTACGCCTTGAAAAACAGCTGAACAGAATTGCCGTCCTTGGTCGCTTGTTACTTGAGATGGAACACCAAAGCGTGAAATCCAAGAATACAAGAAAGCCCAGGTTACACTTTCTGCGGTAATATCTGATAGAGAAAAAACTTCAAGTCAATGTGAACATGCAAAAATCTGGCGGGTGGCACAGTGGTGTGACTATATGCCGAACAATTTTGGAGCGTTGACATGAGATGCAGCTTCGAGCCCAGGTTCTACAATCCTTGCGAATGACAGGCCAAACAAATCTATCCGTGATGAGTTTAGTTGTGGTTTTTATACCTGGATGAGATAGATTGTGCAGAGTATTATAAATGTGTCGTCTTTGTTCAGCAGGAACATAAGGACGTAATCGATTCCTGGAATAGCGATGCGTTTCAGGTTGAGAGCAATATCTGATTTTAAGAGCGTTACAAGTTCTTCATCTTCGTCTTGCGATTTAGCAATAACGGAGTGATCCAAAGGCGATGTTATGGCTTCTGCTCTTGAGAAAGCGTCGGCTACAATGTTTTGTTGTCCACTAACATAGCGAACATCTGTTGTAAACTGTGACAAGAAACTTAATTGATTTAATTGTATTGGCGGCAGCTTGTCTTTTCGTTGGGAAAAGGCGTGAATTAAAGGTTTGTGGTCAGTAAACCAAATGAAATGTCTGCCTTCCAGTAAGCTTCGAAAATCTTGCACTGCTTTGTATCCAGCCAAAAGTTGTAGATAATATGCTGGCCAAAGTTGTTGTTTCTCAGATAGTTTTTTTGAAAAGAAGCCCAAAGGTTGCCAAGTGCCATTGATGTACTGCTGTAATACTGCACCGATAGAATGGTTGGATACATCGCCAAATAATGCTATTTGAGCATTTGGAACAGGGTGTGCTAGTAATGTTGCTGTAGCCAATTCTTTCTTACAAGTCTCGAAGTTATCTTGAAGCTGTGGGGTCCAAGAAATTGGTTGTGATCCAGATTTGGTAGATCCTGAGAGCAGCTTGTGTAGCGGAGCAAGAAATTCAGCTGTGAGGAATAAACCTTCGATAATAATTAATCATTCCTATGAAGCGTCGCAGCTTTGAGTAGGTTGCCGATAGCAGACATTCTTGGAGATCGTTGATACGGTCTGGTGGTGGCAAAGTTCCATCTTTAGAAATTTCATAACCAAGAAATGTAACTTTGGGTGCACCTAATAAGTATTTCGCTGGATTTATGACAACGCCGTGATCTTTCAGGCATTGAAATAATTGGCGGAGATGATCTTGGTGTTCTTCTAGCGATGTAGATGATATAAGAATATCATCTAGATATGCGTAACAAAAATCCAGATCTTGTGTAACCTCATCTATAAATCGCTGAAATGTTTGTGCTGCAGTCCTTAGTCCAAAAGTCATATACGGGAACTTAAACAGCCCAAAGGGTGTTATTATTGCTGTTTTTGCAATATCATCAGGGTGGATTGGAATTTGCTAAAAGGCTTTCACTAAGTCGATCACTGAAAATATAGTACATCCAGCTAAATTATGGGCGTAGTCAGCAATATGACAAACAGGATATTTGTCTGGAATTGTGCGTGAGTTGAGCAGCCGATAATCTCCGCATGGACGCCACGTCGAATCCTCTTTCAGATGTAGAGGTGAAGACCAAGAACTATCGGAGGGTCTTGCAATGCCTAATTCTACCATATTCTTAAATTCTTCTTTGGCTACGCGAAGTAATTCTGGCTTGAGGCGCCGTGGTCTAGAAGAAACTGGAGGTCCTGGAGTGGTTCTGATATAATGAAATGTTTTGTGTGTGCTTTCTTGACTTAAGCCTGATGGTCTGGTGATGGATAGAAAATCAGCTAATAATTTATTGTATGCTCTATCTCCAAATATAGACTTGACACTTTGTATCCGAGAGAATGTGACACATCCTGGAGATGACAGTGATGTCAGGTTGTCATGTAGACGAGAATTCTTTATATCGATAATGATATTGTAGTACGCCAAAAAGTCTACTCCAAGTATAGGCATTGTTACGTCTGCTACGATGAATCTCCAAGTAAAATTTCTTCTTAGTCCAAAATCTAATTGTAAAATAATATCCCCGTACGTGCGTATGTTGGTTCCATTGGCTGCAGACAAAGTATAGTTTAGTTGTGGATTAAGTTTAGCAGTTAAGCGCCTTGGATACACGCAAATGTCTGCACCTGTGTCGACCAAAAACTGTACCTTAGTTCTGCGATCACTTATGAAGAGGCGACGGCTTGATGAAGAGCAAGGATTGGTCGCCATCACTCCTTGCCGTTGGAGTTTTTCTCTCTGAACGAACAATGACTCTCGCATTTTCTTGCTTTCTTTCCGAATTTGGCGTGGTACCAACATAATGTATTTCGGTTGCGCGATCTAGAAGCACTTTGCTGATAGGTTGAGTGTGCTACGATAGGTAAACTTGGCTAATTGCTCTGTAAGATCTTCCACACGCTGTGTTTGTGGATCATTTTTATCAATTAGTATTTGTATGGTGTCTTGCTGTTGGTTGTTACTAGTTGTTGGAATTACTGGCGGTTGTGCAATCTCACATATTTTGTCGGCGAGCGATGCAAGTTCTTCTAGGTCTGCATTGATCTGTGTTTGCAATATTTGTTGAGTCTGTACCGGTAGTTGTTGAATCCAGATTTCTCGTAGGAGTGAATTGTCGACTGTATTGTTCCGACCAACGAACGAAGGTGACGTAGGAACTGAGAAGGACTTCGATCACCAAGTTCTTCTTGCAGAAGTAATTGTCTTATCCTTTGCCGTTCGGAAATTGATAGCCTTTTGATTAATTCCTCCTTTAGTTTTATGTATTTATTCTCTGCAGGCGGAGAGTTTATTACGTCTTCTACTTGGAGTAAATATTTGCATTCTAAGTGAGCTATTGCATATTCATATTTAGCCAGGTCATTGATGATGATGCATCGAGAAAATATTCCATCGACTATTGTGAACCACAATGTTGGTTTCTCACTCAAAAATGGCGGTAGATGCGGAGTGCGTGAGATTGCATCCTGTTCACCTTTAGAATCCTGCATGTTTTTATTCATTACTTGTATTTTCTTGTCCTCTGTGCGGATAGTCCACTATGGTAGTTCAGTTCACACGCTATGTGGTCCAATCCAGCGTCGGGGTCACCAATTAAATATAAAATTGCTAGTATTGTTAAGTAATTACATTTTTGGAAACTGAAGTAGTTATATTAAAAATTATCTTGAAAATTATTATATACATATTTGTAACGCTAGTATCAAACTAAACTTAATATTTTATATGCATTTAAATTGTAGAAAATTATATATAATTACTTATGTAAGAAATTTTTCACATTTTTCATATCTTTAATACATATTTGGTGTACACAGTAATATATCACAATCTTTCTACTAAAATGTTTGATTTAATTTAAATAATTTAAATTTAATAATTTTAATCAATATGTTAAACATCATCTTCATTCTTACATTTATCAAAATATATAGTGTTTCTGACGTTGTCCCGATGCCTTTGAGAACTTCTTCTATCAACATATGATGGATTATTATGAACTTTTAAAAATTGTTCATCTTCATTTGTCTCCAAATTGTTTAAAAGTTCCCTGTATTCTTGCATTTCGTTAAAAATGTTCTCAAGACTTCTTTCAACTTTGTTCAGTTTTTTGTTGATTTCTTCTTTCGTTTTAGACATTTTATAAGAAATATTTTTAAAATTAAATAATGAAAATTACTGTTCAATATCTGCTTGCAGACTGAGTAAAAATTGAACTGATTGGAATCTGGCTATCATTATTATCAGTCTCCATCTGCCCATCAGTGCGGTTATTACGCGAATTACGTTTGTGGGGTTGTCCCACATATAAAAATCAAGGCACTACAATTATAAATGAAAAATAAAGTTTATTACAAAATAAATATAATAATTTACACAGTCTTCTTGGGTATTCTTCGGTTGGACTTCCTAGTTTTTCCAGGTGTTGACTAATTTGGCGCTGCTGCTTTTAATGTCTTCTTTAACAGAAGCTCGAATTCCTAATAAAATAATTGGTAGAGAATCCATCCATGACGGGTCTGCATGGCACATGAGGGCTGTTTTCAGTGGCCTGTGTGCATTTTCAATCAATCCATTCGATTGCGGGTGATATGCTGTAGTAGGAGTGTGGGAAATTCCTAGTAGTTTGGTTACGCCTTGAAAAACAGCTGAACAGAATTGCCGTCCTTGGTCGCTTGTTACTTGAGATGGAACACCAAAGCGTGAAATCCAAGAATACAAGAAAGCCCAGGTTACACTTTCTGCGGTAATATCTGATAGAGGAAAAACTTCAAGCCAACGTGTGTAACGGTCTATAGCGGTAAATAGGTATTTGAAGCCTTTTGATTGTGGAAGTGGTCCGACAATGTCAATGTGAACATGCAAAAATCTGGCGGATGGCACTTTGAACTCTCCAAGTGGTGTGACTATATGCCGAACAATTTTGGAGCGTTGACATGAGATGCAGCTTCGAGCCCAGGTTCTACAATCCTTGCGAATGACAGGCCAAACAAATCTATCCGTGATGAGTTTAGTTGTGGTTTTTATACCTGGATGAGATAGATTGTGCATAGTATTAAAAATGTGTCGTCTTTGTTCAGCAGGAACATAAGGACGTAATCGATTTTGAGGTATGTCGCAATATAATTGTTCTTTGGTTCCTAGCGATGCGTTTCAGGTTGAGAGCAATATCTGATTTTAAGAGCGTTACAAGTTCTTCATCTTCGTCTTGCGATTTAGCAATAACGGAGTGATCCAAAGGCGATGTTATGGCTTCTGCTCTTGAGAAAGCGTCGGCTACAATGTTTTGTTGTCCACTAACATAGCGAACATCTGTTGTAAACTGTGACAAGAAACTTAATTGATTTAATTGTATTGGCGGCAGCTTGTCTTTTCGTTGGGAAAAGGCGTGAATTAAAGGTTTGTGGTCAGTAAACCAAATGAAATGTCTGCCTTCCAGTAAGCTTCGAAAATCTTGCACTGCTTTGTATCCAGCCAAAAGTTGTAGATAATATGCTGGCCAAAGTTGTTGTTTCTCAGATAGTTTTTTTGAAAAGAAGTCCAAAGGTTGCCAAGTGCCATTGATGTACTGCTGTAATACTGCACCGATAGAATGGTTGGATACATCGCTAAATAATGCTATTTGAGCATTTGGAACAGGGTGTGCTAGTAATGTTGCTTTAGCCAATTCTTTCTTACAAGTCTCGAAGTTATCTTGAAGCTGTGGGGTCCAAGAAATTGGTTGTGATCCAGATTTGGTAGATCCTGAGAGCAGCTTGTGTAGCGGAGCAAGAAATTCAGCTGTGAGGAATAAACCTTCGATAATAATAAATCATTCATATGAAGCGTCGCAGCTTTGAGTAGGTTGCCGGTAGCGGACATTCTTGTAGATCGTTGATACGGTCTGGTGGTGGCAAAGTTCCATCTTTAGAAATTTCATAACGAAGAAATGTAACTTTGGGTGCACCTAATAAGCATTTCGCTGGATTTATGACAACGCCGTGGTCTTTCAGGCGTTGAAATAATTGGCGGAGATGATCTTGGTGTTCTTCTAGCGATGTAGATGATATAAGAATATCATCTAGGTATGCGTAACAAAAATCCAGATCTTGTGTAACCTCATCTATAAATCGCTGAAATGTTTGTGCTGCAGTCCTTAGTTCAAAAGTCATATACAGGAACTTAAACAGCCCAAAGGGTGTTATTATTGCTGTTTTTGCAATATCATCAGGGTGGATTGGAATTTGCTGAAAGGCTTTCACTAAGTCGATCACTGAAAATATAGTACATCCAGTTAAATTATGGGCGTAGAAATAGGATATTTGTCTGGAATTGTGCGTGAGTTGAGCAGCCGATAATCTCCGCATGGACGCCACGTCGAATCCTCTTTCAGATGTAGAGGTGAAGACCAAGAACTATCGGAGGGTCTTGCAATGCCTAATTCTACCATATTCTTAAATTCTTCTTTGGCTACGCGAAGTAATTCTGGCTTGAGGCGCCGTGGTCTAGAAGAAACTGGAGGTCCTGGAGTGGTTCTGATATAATGAAATGTTTTGTGTGTGCTTTCTTGACTTAAGCCTGATGGTCTGGTGATGGATAGAAAATCAGCTAATAATTTATTGTATGCACTATCTCCAAATATAGACTTGACACTTTGTATCCGAGAGAATGTGACACATCCTGGAGATGACAGTGATGTCAGGTTGTCATGTAGACGAGAATTCTTTATATCGATAATGATATTGTAGTACGCCAAAAAGTCTGCTCCAAGTATAGGCATTGTTACGTCTGCTACGATGAATCTCCAAGTAAAATTTCTTCTTAGTCCAAAATCTAATTGTAAAATAATATCCCCGTACGTGCGTATGTTGGTTCCATTGGCTGCAGACAAAGTATAGTTTAGTTGTGGATTAAGTTTAGCAGTTAAGCGCCTTGGATACACGCAAATGTCTGAACCTGTGTCGACCAAAAACTGTACCTTAGTTTTGCGATCACTTATGAAGAGGCGACGGCTTGATGAAGAGCAAGGTTAGGTCGCCATCACTCCTTGCCGTTGGAGTTTTCTCTCTGAACGAACAATGACTCTCGCATTTTCTTGCCTTCTTTCCGAATTTGGCGTGGTACCAACATAATGTATTTCGGTTGCGCGATCTAGAAGCACTTTGCTGATAGGTTGAGTGTGCTACGATAGGTGAACTTGGCTAATTGCTCTGTAAGATCTTCCACACGCTGTGTTAGTGGATCATTTTTATCAATTAGTATTTGTATGGTGTCTTGCTGTTGGTTGTTACTAGTTTCTGGAATTACTGGTTTGTGGTTGTGCAATCTCACATATTTTGTCGTCGAGCGATGCAAGTGCTTCTAGGTCTGCATTGATCTGGGTTTGCAATATTTGTTGAGTCTGTACCGGTAGTCGTTGTATCCAGATTTCTCGTAGGAGTGAATTGTCGACTGTATTGTTCCGACCAACGAACGAAGGTGACGTAGGAACTGAGAAGGACTTCGATCACCAAGTTCTTCTTGCAGAAGTAATTGTCTTATCCTTTGCTGTTCGGAAATTGATAGCCGTTTGATTAATTCCTCCTTTAGTTTTATGTATTTATTCTCTGCAGGCGGAGAGTTTATTACGTCTTCTACTTGGAGTAAATATTTGCATTCTACGTGAGCTATTACATATTCATATTTAGCCAGGTCATTGATGATGCGGCATCGAGAAAATATTGCATCGACTATTGTGAACCACAATGTTGGTTTCTCACTCAAAAATGGCGGTAGATGCGGAGTGCGTGAGATTGCATCCAGTTCACCTTTAGAATCCTGCATGTTTTTATTCATTACTTGTATTTTCTTGTCCTCTGTGCGGATAGTCCACTATGGTAGTTTAGTTCACACGCTATGTGGTCCAATTCAGCGTCGGGGTCACCAATTATGTGGGATGGTCCCACATATAAAAATCAAGACACTACAATTATAAATGAAAAATAAAGTTTATTACAAAATAAATATAATAATTTACAAAGTCTTCTTGGGTATTCTTTGGTTGGACTTCCTAGTTTTTCCAGGTGTTGACTGCTCGACCTGTAGAGGATAAAAGAGAGCGAGAATGGTAGCTGCTTTCGTTATATACCTGGTAGCCTAACCCCCTCCACACATTAGGGTCCCTAATAGTGTGGAAGCTAGTGTAGCTCTTTACTACTATTTCTCAATAGTAGTCGCAGTGTCGCTGCACGTTTTAGGCGTGTTAATCGACTTCGACGACCAATGTCAGGTCTATTTCTTCTCGGCATCGTGTACAGCTGGTATCAGATTTATATAGTATAGATATACTACTGTATATAGGGTTTGTGTTCTCCTAAATTACACTAAAACACTATAGTTCTTAAGTAACTCTGTATTCGAGTTTGTGATTCTCCTAAATCACACTAAAATACTATACTTCTTCAATAACTCTGTATTCGAGTTTGTGATTCTCCTAAATCACACTAAAACACTACACTTCTTCAATAACTCT